GTTCCAGGTCTGCCACGAGCTTCTTCCAGGTCTGCCACGTGGGTGCAGGGGCCAAGCACTTGAGCCATCTTCTGCTGCTTTCCCAGGCACATTAGCAGGGGTGCCAGTTTAGCAGGTAGAAGCTTAACATGCTACACCACAACACTGGCCCCATGATAGTTAATTCTGTGTGTCAACTTGACAGGGACACAGGTGTCCTGCTTAAACATTATTTCTGGGTATGTCTGTGAGGGCATTTCCAGATGAGGTTAGCATTGAATTGGTGAACTGAGGAACACGGATGGCTCCACTCAGTGAGAGTGGGTTTCATACAATCCATTGAGGATATGAATAGAACATAAAGGTTGGGGGAAGGGGAATTGGCTCGCTACCTGACTGCTGAGCAGCAACACCCATATTCTGTCCTCAACTGGACCGTACACCATTTGTCATCTGGTTTTCAGAACTATGCCACCAGCTCTCCTGCACCTACAACTTCCTGGTGGCAGGTTGTAAAACTTCTCAGTCCTCATAATCACGCGAGCTAATTTCTTATAATAAATCACATATGGTTCCTATTTCTCTTTTGGTTCTGTTTTTCTGGAGAACCCTAATGCATCCAGAATTCCACTTCTAATGCTCACTGTGCAGAAGGCTGGTGGGCGCAAACGGCTAGGGAGAACTTGTGAATGTCCATCTACAGCCAGTGACTGTTACAGAGTGAAATGAACTAGCTACTAAAACGCGGGATGAGTGAATTCAGCAAATCTGTTTTGCTTACCTGGTAGATAGCAGGTGCCAGCACTGCAGACATGCATACTGCATTTCATAGACCCTGCCTTCAACTTCCACCTATTCCACAATAGAAGTGGGATCAGAAGCCTAGAGCAGCCGGGACTTGAACCAGGCACTCCAACATGGGATGTGAGCATCCCAAGTGGTGGCTAAATCTGCTGTGCCACATGTCGTGTCATAGACCACTGCTGGATGGGACAGAGAATGCGAGCAGCCTGTGGATGCCTGTGGAGGGTGGATGGATGGTGCCTTCTATAGTACATGTCTCGGGCAGGTAAAGCAAGTGAGTATTGGTTATGGTGACTCTGGTGTGTGTGTGTGTGTGTGTGTGTGTGTTTGTGTATAACAGCATCTGGAAGGAAACACCAGAAACTCATGCTGGTGGTCATTTTGGGGCCGGAGGATTACCTGTATAATCAATGTACTGGTTTGTTGTTCAAACTTTTTATACAAACCTGTGATCACATACTTGTGTAACTCTCTTTAAATGGAAATCATTTATAGTCATTAAATGATTATAAACAACATCCATAGCGCAAAGCATTTATGAAGGGGTGGAACTAGGTTGCATCTAGGAACGTGGGCCAGACAGGTAACCTACAAGAGCTCAGCATACGGCGGCAGCGTAGAGCAACGGGGCTAATGAATGTCCTCTGACTTTTAGCAGCAAAGGGTGGGGGTGGGAGGGAACAGGAAAGAGCCCACGTCACAAGCCCCCAAAGAATTCGAACACATCACCCCCTGGGTTTTCTATCAGAGTTTTTTATCAGAGTTCACAGAGTCCTTGTACTTATGCCGCCTACCTCCACCACACCCTCTGTCCATCAGTCCATGTCACCACCCCGACCCTGCCTTTACACCTGGCCCTTGATCTCCCGGGAGCTGAGCCAGAAAGTTGTCTGGAAGCCCCAGGGTGAGAACACCCCCCCCCCCCCCCCCCGGCTATGCTGCGTCTGCCCTTCAGGCTACCAGTCAGGATGTCGGGCAGGACTTTGGAGAAACAGGTAAACGGGGTGCCCCCCTCCCCGGGATGGGGCTGGGTGCTGAAATCAAGGTCAGGGATCCACCAACCTGGATCTGGTAATGTTTCCCTCCTCTGTGGGTTCCCCTGGTGCACAGCCCTCCATTTTCTGCTCTCCTCTCTCTCTTCCTCTTTCAAAGACAAGCAGAGGGCAGCAGAGGCACACAGAAAGGCCCGGCTCCAGCGGCCCCAAGGAGGGCCCCGTGGCACAACAGCAGGGAAGTGGGCTCAGGGCTGGCTGTTCCTTCTGGGTGGTTCCAGGGGAGCCCGGTCCCAGCAACAGGTGGAGCGAGCTGCAGGTAGATCCTGGAGTGTGTCCCTGAGTCTGCCATGATTAGGGCTGTGGGGAGGGGCCGGCAAACATGGTGCTGACCTTGAGGTTTGCAAGAAGAATTTTGGAGCCCATGGCAGCCTGAGGAGACCTTAAAGAACACTCCGTAGGAAGATACAATCCTTCCCTACTGTGGAAAGCTGAAGGCAGGAAGGCACCCTCAGCACCTGTTTAAAGGGCTGTTGTGAGCAATAAAAGAGTCCATTTTGGATAGTGCTCAAAACAGGGCTTAGCACACAGGAAGCCTCATGTAATTACTATGTTTTTTAAAATAGTTTTTAATATTTATTTATTTGAAAAGCAGAGTTACAGAGAGGCAGAGGCAGAGAGGGAGAGAGAAGTCTTTCATCCGCTGGTTCATTCCCCAAAAGGCTGCAATGTCTGGAGCTGAGCAGATCCGAAGCCAGGAGCCAGGAGCTTCTTCTCGGTCTCCCACGCAGATGCAGGGGCCCAAGGACTTGGGCCATCTTCCATCGCTTTCTCTTGCCATTAGCAGAGAGCTGGATTGGAAGTGGAGCAGCCAGGACTTGAACCAGCGCTCATATGGTGTGCCAGGAGTGCAGGTGGCGTCTTTACTGTGTTAAGTCACAGCGCCAGCCCCACTACTATATCTTGATCATATTTTTATAAAGTAGGCTCTTTAGCCTCACCTCCAAGCCCCTGCAAGATTTGGTCCCTGCCTTCCCCTCTCATTCATCCTTCTCTAACTCTGGGATTCAAAGCCTCACTGATTTCTTCCTGTTCCCTAAAAGAGCCATTCATGCTCATCCTTTTTCTTTTTTTTAAAAGATTTTATTCATTTATTTGAGAAGCAGAGCTACACACAGAGAGAGGGAGAGACAGAGAGAAAGGTCCTCAATCCAGTGGTTCACTTCCCAAGTGGCTGCAACAGCTGGACCTGGACCGATCCAAAGCCAGGAGCGAGGAGCTTCTTCCAGGTCTCCCATGTGGGTGCAGGGGTCCAAGGACTTGGGCCATCTTCCACTGCTTTCCCTGGCCACAGCAGAGAGCTGGATCAGAAGTGGAGCAGCCGAGACTTGAACTGGCAGTCATATGGGATGCCAGTGCCACAGTTGGAGGCTCAGCCCACTAGGCCACAGCACCGGCCCCCTGCCCATCCTTGAATTTGCTCTGAGTCTGGAAGAGAAGGCAGGATCTAGGGAGTGATCTTGAACTCATAGGGCATTGACTATGGCAGGAATAAGTGGAGTAGATTATAAAAACTGGGAGTATGCAGCTGAAGCAGTGCTCAGGGTAAAATGACGGCTCTAAATGCACACAGCAGAAAAATTTAAAATCAATGACCCGAGATCCCATAACCATAAGAAAGCAGAAGGAAGGTGATTATCAAGAGAACAGCAGACATGGGTGAAATAGAAAGCAAATATACAATCGGAAAATCTAACATCAAAGTTGGTTCTTTGAGTTTATTAATTAGTGATTTCTGCTTTCTCTGGAGAAAGAAAAATATAAATTACTGATTTCAGCAATGAAAAGAGGGTGCTATCACAGATTCTACGGATGTTGAAAGGTTAATAAGTTTCCTTTTTTTTTTAACATATGACTTTGTTTTTCATGGGGCCCAAATGCTGGTCATTTTCTCACTCTACTGCTCCTGTGTCTATGTGGTTCCTCTGTATCCATGAGGACAGCAGAACTCAGCAATTTTGCTAATGCCTTTTCCACTCATGAAAATAGAAACACACAGTATTTTTTAGCTAGGGCTTGGTGAAGTCAATTGTTTAAAGTATGCTGGTTTGAATGGAATTAAACACGGTGGAATAGAAAAGAAAAAAGTAGCATAGAGTCAATAGAATGGAATGGCGTCCAATCGAATTGAATCGAATCAAATAGAATAGAATAGCAGTCAGACTTTGTGCCACACATCAGACCTAACTGTTCTCATAGTAGGCATTAATCCATTCAACAAATATTATTGAATTAGTTGTTTGGGAAGCAGTTGGGTAGCAAACAGAGGGAAAGTCGTGCTTTGGGGAAGTTTACATCTTAACCTGGGAGACAGGTATTATTTTTAGCCTGTGCAAATTCCCTTTGGCTAAAGGTACAAGGATGGCCCTTATGAAGAACAGGTTAAAGGAGAATGTAGCTTGGAGTTCACGAGCAATGGATGAGTTTACAGAGACTGGGGGCCGTGGTAAAGGGTTTGGATTTTAACAAGGTGACTACAACATCATCGTCATCAATAACCATAGCCTTTTTATAATACTTGATATGTGTCAGACATTGTCCTAGGACCTTAGAAAACAAATCTAAAAAAAAATCTTCACAACATTCCTGTAAGTTATGTATACAAGAGGTTTTCAAAAGCATAGAAAATACATATTATGAAAAAGTTATGTATGCACCAAAGTGAACTTACCTTTTAATTCTACTTTCCGTGAACTTTTTGAAGTACCCTCATAAAACCATGCCTATTTTACAGAAGGGGAAATCAAGGCACAGGGAAACTACTTAAATGTCAGTCTGGCTCTAGAGGCTATTCTTTTAAACATTATGCTCTACAACCTATAGTGCCAGATGGTATCGCAGGCATGTTACCATCCTGCAGTAGAGATAATGTAAATATACAAATTACTAAAGAATTCAGGTCAAGAGATAAATCTAATGTCAAGTGTGAAAGGTGGGAAGCAGATTTGTAAGCACACCCGCCCAGAAACTTCTACTTCCTGTCCTGCCCTCTGTGATCACAGCTGCAGAATGGGAAAGGAGGCTGGGGAAAATAGACCAATAGAGTGCTTGTACTCATGGAGTTGGACTTCCACTATGTCTGTCATTTCTTGGAAAAGAGATGAATTCCAGTTAAGGAACAACAAGAGAGAGTGTGGTCTTAATCTCCACTCCCCTAATCTTTACCACTATCTACCTGGAAGGAGAGAGAATAAGAAAACAGTAGAGAATGTGCATGGCAGACCCATGGACTCTTGTCAATCCATACACAGGCAATAAAGTTCTACTGACTTTTTCTCAAGGATTTTCTCCTTGAAATGGGGGAGGTGCGGGCACTGGGGCACAGCAGGTTAAGCTGCCACCGGTAACAGCGGCATCCCATATCGAAGAGCCAATTTGAGTACTGTCTGCCCAACTTCCAATCTGGCTCTCTGCTAATGTTCCTGGAAAGGCTGCGGAAGATGGCTCAAGTTCTTACTTGGGTGCGTGCCACCCATTTGGAAACCACAATGAAGTTCCTGGCTCCAGGCTTTGGCCTGGCCCAGCCATTTGGAGAGTGAACCACAGGATGGAAGATCTGCCTCTCCTTTTCTCTTTGTCACTCTGCCTTTCAAATAAATAAATATTTTAAAAAAAAGAAATGGGGGAGAGGAAGAAGTACAAAAACCGGGGAGGTGAGGGAAGGCATTCAGTGGCAATGTGGTCTCTTTTGACTTTTTGATTTTTTTTTTTTTTTTTTAGTCATGGAGCAACAGCAGTCAAACCCCTTCCCCAAGTCTTATCCACAGACTCGACCACATTGTGATGACAGTAAAGAGCATCCAAGATACCACCAAGTTTTATTCCAAGATTCTGGGCATGGAGGTCGTGACGTTCAAGGTAACTGCTTCCTCAAATGCCAGATTGCAGGTAGACTAAAGATTAAAAAAAAAAAGGAGGTGATTCCAGACTCTGAGTAGTGGAACTTCCAGAGGGAGAAGGGAGAAAAATGAGGGGAGGAAAATTATTACAGAAATTATGCTAGAGAACTCTGTAGTCTTTATATGGAAAGTGTTGAGTAGCTATCACATGAACACTCACACATGTCCTTACAAAATTTTAACACATCAAGCCAAGAAAGTAGATCCCAAGAGGTTTCAGAGAGATGACAAGCTAGTTCATGTACAAAGGAAAAAGAAATATGCAAATAAAATATCAGATTTCTCAAGAGTCACACTAGATACCAAAAGACAATAGAAAGAGACCTTTAAGATTCTGAGGGACATTTTTTCAACCTAGAATTCTATTTCCAACCAAACTATGAATCAGAGGTGAGTGTAGCATAAGGCATTCTTATGGCATAAAAAGCCTCAGAAAATCTGCCCACTTGCTTTGAAAATTACTTAAGGGAGCAGTATATCAAAATGAGGAATTAAGCTGGGAATAAGGAAAAAACTTGTATGGAAGTCAGGACTTGGAAGTAGATACGCAAATCCTAGGTACCTATAGAACAATCAGTCCAGTTTGGAAAAGGAGTGAAAAAAGTACCAGAAGAGATCCAATGAAAGGTCTCCAGAGATTGAATACTACCCTTGAGAATTTGGAAAAATTTCCAATGCAAAGAACACATACACAAAAATATGTCTTACCAAGATGTCCTTCGATAGGTGAATGGTTAAACAAATTGTGAAACATCTAGACAATGGGATATTATTTAGTGATAAAAAGAAAGTGTCAAGCCACAAAAAAAGATATGGAGGAAAATCAGATGTTTACTACTAAGTCAAAGAAGCCAACTGGAAAAGTCTATGTGCAGTGTGATTCCCACTATATGACATTTGGAAAATGACAAAATGATGGAGCCTGTAAAAAGTCATAGCCAGGGGCTGGGGGAGGGGTGGGATGACTAGAGCAGAGGGGACTTTTAGGGCAGTGAAGCTACTATGAAGGACACAGCAGTGGTAGATCCAGATCATTACATGTTTGTCCAAACCCATAGAATGGACAACGAGAGTGAATCCTAATGTAAATTGGGGAGTCTGGGTGATAATGCTATTTCAGGGGAGGTTCTTGGTTTGTCACAAATGTACCTCTGTGGTGAGGGATATTGATGGTGGGGAAGGCTGTGTGTGGGGGGGGACAAGAAGTATTTGGAAAATCTCTGTGCTTTCCTCTCAACGTTGCTGTCGACTAAATCTTTTCTAAAAAAAAAAGTAATAAAACACACATACACGTTCATTTGAAAGATCCCATGGAATAGCAAACATGATAAAAAGATAAAAACTAACCTGGAACACTATGCAGAAAATGAATATTATGCCACATCAGACTAGATGTCAGAGGACTGGTCTTGAGGGGCCTGTGCCGTGGTACAGTGGTTAAGCTGTGGCTTGTGCCCCGGCATCCCACATCAGAGTGCTGGTTTGTATTCTGGCTGCTCTGGTTCTGATTCTGCTCCTTGTTAGCATACCTGGGAAGGCAGTGGAAGATGGCCCAATGCTTGAAACCCCTTGCTACCCACATGGGAAATGAAAATGGAGTTTGGGGCTTCTGGCTTTAACCTGGCCCCAGATTATGGTCATTTGGGGGGATGAACCAGCCAATAGAAGATCTTTTTCTCTTTCTTATTCTGGTCCTCTCTCTCTCACTCTACCCTTCAAATAAATGAAATGCATCGTTAATAACAATAAATGAAAGGCAGAGAGACAGAGAGAGACAGGCAGATATCTCCCGTCTTCTGTTTCCCTGCCCCAATTTATCAAACATAGTGCTGGGCCTGGCTGAAGCCCAGAGCCAGGAGCTGAATCCAGGTGTCCCACGTGAGAGGCAGGGACCCAAGTATTTGAGCCATTACCTGCTGCCCTCCCACAGTATGTATTGGCAGCAAGCTGGAATTGAGAATGGAGCCTGTACTTGAACCCAGGCATTGCAATGTGGGATATAGGCATCCCAAGAAATATCTTACCTGTTGCACTTAAATGCCCATCTCACAGCTTTCTTTCTAAACAAAATTTTATTCATTTTAAATTCAGACAGAGAGTGAGCAAGAGAGATGAAAAGTGACAGAGATCTCCCATCTGCAAGCACAGTCCCCCAAATTCTGCAATATCCACTGCTGTTCCTATCATGTTAAAGCTTAACTTTAGGGGCTGGTGCTGTGACGTAAAGCTGTCGCCTGCAGTGCTGGCATCCCATATGGGTGTCAGTTCAAGTCCAGGCTGCTCTACTTCTGATCCAGTCTGAGAAAGCAGTGGAAGATGGCCCAAGTCCTTGGGCCCCTGCACCCGCGTGGGAAACCCTGAGGAGGCTCCTGACTCCTGACTTCAGATTGGCTCTGGCCTTTGTGGCCACTTGGGCAGTGAACCAGCGGATGAAGACCTCTCTCTCTCTCTCTCTCTGCCTTTGCTTCTCTGTAATTCTGCCTTTCAAATAAATAAATAAATCTTAAAAAAAAAAAAAACCTTAACTTTAAAACATACTGGGGGATGGTGTTGTGGCACAGCAGGCTAAGCCACTACTTGCAAGGCCAGCACCCCATAAGGGCACTGGTTCAAGTCCTAGCTGCTCCATTTCTGATCCAGCTCCTTGTTAACGCACCTGGGAAGGCAATGGAAGATGGCCTAAGTACTTGGGCCCCTGCCACCCATGTGGGAGACTCAGGTGGTGTTCGGGGGTCCTGGCTTCAGCCTGGTTCAGCCCTGGTGGTTGCGGTCATGTGGGGAGTGAGCCATCAGATGGAAGATCTCTCTCTCTCTCTCTCTCTCTCTCTCTCTCTCTCTCTCTGTCACTCTTTCAAGTAAATAAGTAAACCTTTAAAAAGCAGAAATAATTAATTAATTAAAAATGGAGAGGGTGCTGGCCATTGTATCACAGGAAGTTTAGCCACAGCTTACAACTTCAGCAATGCCTATCAGAACCAGGGTTGGATTCCCAGCTGTTCCAGTTCTGATCCAGCTCCCTGCTAATGTGCCTGGGAAGACAGCAGAAGATGGCCAAAGTTCATGAGTGCCTCCCACCCATATGGGAGACCCAGATGGGGTTCAAGGAATCTGGTTCTGGCCTAGTGCATCCCCAGCTGCTGTGGGCATTTGGGGAGTAAACCAGCTAATGGAAGATCTCTCTCTCTGTCCCCTTTGTGTCACTATCAAATAAATAAAAAATAAATCTTAAAAATGCTAATAAAAGATGATAATGCTGAGTTAGTGAAAAGCTGAGAAATAGAATCAGGTCTACAGCATGATAGCATTAAAAACATTTTTTTTCTGAGCTGTTTCTCTGTGACACAGTAAAAAATATACTTTTTAAAAAATTTTTGACAGGCAGAGTGGACAGTGAGAGAGACAGAGAAAAAGGTCTTCCTTTGCCGTTGGTTCACCCTCCAATGGCCGCCACGGCTGGCGCGCTGCTGCCAGCGCACCGCGCTGATCCGATGGCAGGAGCCAGGTACTTATCCTGGTCTCCCATGGGGTGCAGGGCCCAAGCACTTGGGCCATCCTCCACTGCACTCCCTGGCCACAGCAGAGAGCTGGCCTGGAAAAGAGGCAACAGGGACAGAATCCGGCGCCCTGACCGGGACTAGAACCCGGTGTGCCGGCGCCTAGTGAGCCGCGGCGCCAGCTAAAAAAAATTTTTTTTAATTTATTTGCAAGGCAGAGAGAGAGAGAGAGAGAGACAGAGACAGAGAGACAGAGATTTTCCATTCACTGGTTCACTCCCAAAGCCTACAATAGCCATGGCTAGACCAGACCAAAGGCAGGATCCAAGACTCAGTCGGGATCTACCACATGGGTGGCAGTGACACAAGTACTTGAGCCATCACTGCTGTCTCCCAGAATGTGCATTAGCAGGAAGCTGGAATTGGAAGTATCATCCCAGATCATCCCAAGCAGTGTCCTTTTCCCCCCTTAATTTTATTTATTTGAAAGTCAGGGATAGGGAGAGAGAGAGAGAGAGAGAGAGAGAGAGAGATATCTTCCATCTGCTGGTTCACATCCCAAATGGCTACAATGGCTGGAGCTGAGCCGATCCAAAGCCAGAGCTTCTTCCTGGTCTCCCATGTGGGTGCAGGGGCCCAAGGACTTGGGCCATCTTCTGCTGCTTTCCCAGGCATATTAACAGGAAGCTGGATTGGAAGTGGAACAGCTGGTACTCAAACCAGCATCCAAATGGGATGCTAGATTTGCAGGGGTAGATTTACTGACTACATCACAATGCCAGCTCCAACCAAGCAGTGTCTTAACCACTGTACCAAACACCCACCCCTACATGGCGCCACTTGTAATACAGACATAGAACACAGTACCACTATAATATAGACATTTATAATACAGACATAATAGAATAATATATTTTACAATAACCAAAGGATGTACACTAAATACATTATAATGTTTGCCTAAAGTCAGCATAGGAATGGAGAGAAAAAGAAATGCATAAATAATTTAAGAGACTGCCTTGCATGGGCCAATGATGATATAATGAGGCACGTCATGCCTCAACTCCTTGTACATGGACACACTGGAGTGAAATTACAGAACATCTAGAGTCAAGTCCTAGCTGCTCCTAAACACCTGGGCTGGCATTGTAGTACAACGGGTTAAGCCACTGCTTGTGGATCTGGTATCTCACACTGGAGTGCCAGTTTAATTCCTGGTTACTTCACTTCTGATCCAGATGTCTTCCAAAGTACCTGGGAAAGCAGTGAGAAATAGCCCAAATATTTGGGTCTCTGACACCTGTGTTTGAGACCAGGATGGGGTTCCTGGTTTCGGGCTGCTAGCTTCAGCCTGGCCCAACTCTGACTGTTGTAGGCATTTGGGGAGTGAATCAGCAGAGGGAAGTTCTCTCTGTTTCTCCCTCCTTTTGTCACTCTGCCTTTCAAATAAATAAATAAATAAATAATTTTTAAAATTCATTTATTTATTTGAAAGGGAGAGAGAGAGAGAGAGAGAGAGAGAGAGTCTTCCATCTTCTGGTTCATTCCCCAAATGGCCACAGTGGCTGGGCTGGGCCAGGCCAAAGCCAGGAGCTAGGAGCTTTATCCAGGTCTTCCACATGTATGGCAGGGGCCCAAGCATTTGGGCCATCTTCCACTACTTCCCCAGGCACATTAACAGGGAGCTGGATCTGAAGTGGAACAGCCAGGATTCGAACTTGCACCCATATGGTATGCTAGCCCTACAGGTGGTGACTTAACCCACTACACTGTAGTGCTGGTACCATAATTTTTAAAATATTTATATGAAAGGCAGAGTTATAGGAGTGGGGAAGGGAGAGAGAGAGAGAGAGAGAATCTTCCAACTGCTGGTTCACTCCCCAAATGGCCACAATAACCAGAGCTGAGCCAGGCTGAAGTTAGGAGCCAAGAGCTTCTTCCAGGCTTCCCAAGTGGGTGCGAGGGCCAAAGTATTTGGGCTATCTTCTGTTGCTTTCCCAGGTGCATTAGCAGAGAGCTGGATTGGAAACAGAGCAGCTAGGATTCAAACCGGTGCCCATATAGGATGCCAGTGCTGCAGGTAGCGACTTTACCTGCTATGCCACAGCATCACGGCTCCCCATGCCCCATAATTTTTTTTTTTTTTTTGACAGGCAGAGTTAGACAGTGAGACAGACAGAGAGAAAGGTCTTCCTTCCGTTGGTTCAGCTCCCAAATGGCCACTACGGCCGGCGTACTGCGCTGATCCGAAGCCAGGAGCCAGGCGCTTCCTCCTGGTCTCCCATGCGGATGCAGGGCCCAAGGACTTGGGCCATCCTCCACTGCTTTCCTGGGCCACAGCAGAGAGCTAGACTGGAAGAGGAGCAACCGGGACAGAACCGGCGCCCCAACCGGGACTAGAACCCGGAGTGCCGGCACTGCAGGCAGAGGATTAGCTTAGTGAGCCGCGGCCCCATAATTTTTTTTTTAAACCTAAGGTACTAGCACTGTGGAACAATGGATTAAACCACCAGTTGCAATGCTGGCATCGCATATCAGAGTGCTGATTTGAGTCTCAGCTGTTCTGCTTCTGATCTAGCTCCCTGTTAATGTGGCCGGGACGCAGCAAATGATGATCCAATGCTTGGATCCCTGCGGCCTCATGAGAGACCTGGATTGGGTTCTGGGCTCCTGATTTTTGCCTGGCCCAGCCCTGGCTGTTGGGGCCATGTGGGGAGAGAGAGAGTATGAAAGATCTGTCACTCTGCCTTTCAAAATATGCCAATCAATCTTAAAAATAATAAAAACCTAAAAGATGCAGGAGAGGAAGGTGGATGTATCATCAACAAAAGAATGAAAAACAAGAGTAGGTATTTGGCTAGCAGTTAAGTCTTTCATGTCCCACATTGGAATACCTGGCTTTACATACCTGGCTCCAGCTCCTGGTTCCAGCTTCCTGCTAATGCACACTCTGGGAGACAATGATGATGGCTCAAGTGGTTGCGTCCCTGCTACCCTTATGAAATACATGGATTTAGTTCTGGCCTCCCGGCTTCAGTCTTAGTCTGGTCTCAGCATCGCTGGCATCTGGGAAGTGAACCAGTGCATAGGAGCAGTCTTTTTCTGTTTGTCACTTTGCCTTGCGAGTAATATTTTTAGAAAATAATGAAAAATTGATTATCATCAGACTTGTTATCAGCAACACCAGATTCCAGGAAGACAATGAAACAAAATATTTTTAAAATTGTGAGAAAATAATTTGCAACCAGATAAGTATTAAAGTTAAAAAAAGTAATTTTTCCATGAGAGGATGTAGTGTCCATCATGGTAACCTAAATGAAACAGAAAAATTATAAAAGAAATGGCCGATGTTGAGAAGTACAGGAGAGGGTGGGGGAAGCAAGGTCAATCAGACACCATCTATAGTTTAGCGAATTTATAAAAAAATAAACATGCAAGAGGGTTCTTTAAAAATTATAAATGCCAAAAGCAGAACCAAAAATGATGATAGGATGCTGTTAGGAGGATGAGCTAAATTCTCATTTATCATGGCAGAAAGAGGACAAAGAATATCTAACGTTTCTAAATCAAGAAATAGTGATGCAGCAGTGAGGGATTGTGTTTGGAGGCTCATAGGAGAGAGCTAAGCTACCAGTGGGTTGAGTAAGACTGAGTTTTCTCTTTCTTTTATTGAACAAGCAGATAGGTGGTGGGAGCTTGGGCAGTGGCTGGGGAGAAGGAAGGTGGAGGAGGAGTAGCTGCAGTGGACAGAAAGCCCCAGCTCAGTGAGGCAGGAAGTTCCCATAAGCCCCACCCACACCCTCTACTTCCATCTCCTTGTGTAGTTCATCTGACAAGGCCTTCATTACATGGCCTTCTAGCAGGGAACACTGGGAAATGGAGGTTTTTCAAGCTGGGCCTCATTGAAACATGCATTGTGTTTATAAGAGAAAAAGGAAATGTATATTGGGTAGGTAAATTGTTTTCTCTGCCATGTGTGGTTATAAACTTACAATTTGGGATATGGAAATAATAACATAGAAAAGGAATAAATACATAACACACACACACACACACACACACAATCAGTTGCCTCACTTAAAGGGAACTAGAGAAAGCAAAAGTGCTGCTGGAGGCCAGAAGGAAAATGAGTGAGTCTTTGGTGATGTTGCTGAAGATTTAGTGGAAAAGTTGAGAAAGTTTCATCTTCGCAAATAAACAAATAATGCTGCCATTATAGCAAAGTCTGACATGGATAAATGCCTGGTGGTAGTGGATGAGGAACTTGAGGGTATTTCCCCAGATGAACTTTAAGATGAACTACCTGAGCAACCACCTCACTTCATTGTGCACAGTTATAAATAGCAACATGGTGACAGAAGAGTTTCATATCCTCTGTGCTTTATTGTCTCCAGTCCTGTTGGGTGTAAGCCTGATGATATATGCCGGAAGTAAGAATAAGCTGCTTAAGGCCAGAGTCGTGGCATAGAGGGTAGAGTCATCGCCTGCAGCACCAGCATCCCATATGGGCACTGGTTCGAGTCCTGGCTGCCCTACTTCCAATCCAGCTCCCTGCTAATTCACTTGGGAAAGCAGCAGAGGAAGGCCCAAGTGCTTGGGCCCCTACCCTCCTGGCTCCTGGCTTCAGATTTTATTTATTTGAGAGGCAGAGTTATAGACAGAGAGAGGGAGAGACAGAGAGAAAAGTCTTCCAACCACTGGTTCACTCCCCAGATGGCTGCAACAGCCAGAGCTGGGCTGATCCCAAGCCAGGAGCCAGGAGCTTCTTTCTGGGTCCCCCATGTGGGTGCAGGAGCTCAAGCACTTTGGCCACCTTCTTCTGCTTTCCCCAGGTCATTAGTAGGGAGCTGGATTGGAAGAGAAGCAGCCAGGATATGAACCGGGGCCCATATGGGATACCGATGCTGCAGGTGGGGGCTTAGCCCACTATGCCACAGTGCCAGCCCCTAAATCTTTAAAAACAGAATAAGCCAGGGCCGGCATTGTGGTGTAGTGGGTAAAGCGGTCACCTGCAGTGCTGGCATCCCACATGGGCGCCGGTTTGAGTCCCAGCTGCTCTACTTCCAACCCAGCTCTCTGCTATGGCCTAGGAAAGCAGTAGAAGATGGTCCAAGTCCTTGGGCCCCCGCACCCTTGTGGGAGACCTGGAAGAAGCTCCTGGCTCCTGGTTTCAGATTGGCGCAGCTCCAGCCGTTGTGGCCAATTGGGGAGTGAACCAGTGGATGGAAGACATTTTCTCTCTCTCTCTCTGCCTCTCCTTCCTCTCTCTGTGTAACTCTTTCAAATAAATAAATAAATCTTTAAAAGAGAGAAAGGGAGAGAGAAAGAGAGAGAGAGAGAGAGAGAATAAGCCAGTTCTTGGTTAGCTGAACCAAGGTATTTGAAAGAAGAAATATTGAAGACTTAAGTAAAGAATGGTTATGTGAAAAACTGGGATTTATCCATTAATGTGAACTTCTGTGTGTTTTTTTTTACAGATTTATTTATTTATTTGGAAGTCAGAGTTACACAGAGAGATGAGAGGCAGAGAGAGAGAAAATGTCTTCCATCCGCTGGTTCACTCCTCAAATGGCCTCAATGGCCAGAGCTGGGTCTATACTAAGCCAGGAGCCAGGAGCTTCTTCTGGGTCTCCCACAAGGGTGCAAGGGCCCAAGGACTTGGGCCATCTTCTACTGCTTTCCCAGGCCATAGCAGAGAGCAGGATCGGAAGAGGAGCAGCCAGGACTAGAACTGGCCCCCATATGGGATGCCGGCGCTTTAGGCCAGGGCGTTAACCTGCTGTGCCACAGTGCTGGCCCCGAACTTTTGTGTTTTTAAAGTATTTATGTATGAACCTGGTCATCCTGGAACCTGACATAAATATTTATTTATGCCTAAAAATGTAGTGTTACTTACAGTTTATTTCCTGCAGTAAATAAAGTTTCTTTATTTGTGCAGTTTTAACAAACAGGAAATCATCTTCATAGTAATGCAACTTTGTAAAGTGCTTCCTATTTTTTTTTTTTTTTTTGACAGGCAGAGTGGACAGTGAGAGAGAGAGACAGAGAGAAAGGTCTTCCTTTGCCGTTGGTTCACCCTCCAATGGTCGCCGCGGCCGGTGCGCTGCGGCCAGCGTGCTGCGGCTGGCGCACCGCACTGATCCGATGGCAGGAGCCGGGTACTTATGCTGGTCTCCCATGGGGTGCAGAGCCCAAGCACTTGGGCCATCCTCCACTGCACTCCCTGGCCACAGCAGAGAGCTGGCCTGGAAGAGGGGCAACCGGGACAGAATCCGGTGCCCCGACCGGGACTAGAACCTGGGTACCGGCGCCGCAAGGCGGAGGATTAGCCTAGTGAGCCGCGGCGCCGGCGTGCTTCCTATTATTTGTAACTGTTAGGTAGATTATTTTTCTCCAGGTACTTTTTGCACTCTTGTAATTAATTTCTATAACTTAATGTTCAGAATTTGTTACTATTTACAGACACCATTAGAATGTGGGTATTAGATTGTGAGAGCAACAGTTGTCTCCTTTTTTAAAAAAATATTTGATAGGCAGATTTACATAGAGAAGGAGAGATAGAGAGAAAGGTGTTCCATCTTCTGCTTCACTCCCCAGATGGCTGTAACGGCTGGCACTGGGCTGGGCCAAAGCCAGAAGCTTCACCTGGCTCTCTCACATGGGTGGCAGGGGCCCAGACATTTAGATCACCTTCTGCTGCTTTTCCCAGGTCATTAGTAGGGAGCGGGAGTGGAAGTGGAGCAGCCAGGACACAAACCAGTGCCCATATGGGATGCCAGCATTGCAGGTGGTGGCTTTACCTGCTACAGTACAACACCAGCTCCTTTTGACAAATACTGGAAATTAGCAGTTTATATATGAAAATAGCATATTATCACTTCTCAAATCATTTTGATTAATTTTGAGTTAAAGACTTGAGTGAGGGGCCGGTGCTGTGGTGTAGTGGGTAAAGCCGCTGCCTGCAGTGTCGGCATCCCATATGGGCGCCAATTCTAGTCCCGGCTGCTCCACTTCCGATCCAGGTCTCTGCTGTGGCCTGGGAAAGCAGTGGAAGATGGCCCAAGTCCTGGGGCCCCTGCACCCACGTGGGAGACCCAGAAGAAGCTCCTGGCTCCTGGCTTCGGATCAGTGCGGCTCCAGCCATTGCGGCCATTTGTGAGGTGAACCAGCAGATGGAAGATCTCTCTTTCTCTGTAACTCTGTATTTCAAATAAATAAATAAATCTTTAAAAAAAAAGACTTGAGGGCCGGCGCCGTGGCTCAATAGGCTAATCCTCCACCTTGCGGCGCCGGCACACCGGGTTCTTGTCCCGGTTGGGGCGCCGGATTCTGTCCCGGTTGCCCCTCTTCCAGGCCAGCTCTCTGCTATGGCCAGGGAGTGCAGTGGAGGATGGCCCAGGTGCTTGGGCCCTGCACCCCATGGGAGACCAGGAAAAGCACCTGGATCCTGGCTCCTGCCATCGGATCAGCGCGGTGCGCCGGCTGCAGCGGCGGCCATTGGAGGGTGAACCAACGGCAAAGGAAGACCTTTCTCTCTGTCTCTCTCTCTCACTGTCCACTCTGCCTGTCAAAAATAAAAAAAATAAAAATAAATAAAAAAAAATAAAAAAAAGACTTGATTGACCCAAATTTCTTTTTTTTTTTTTTTTTTTTTTGACAGGCAGAGTGGACAGTGAGAGAGAGAGACAGAGAGAAAGGTCTTCCTTTGCCGTTGGTTCACAATTGTACATAAATTTGAGCGCTAGAGCACCCGCAGATTTCTTTGATTAAGACTGGGTACGGCAGACTTCTCCTGGTCTCCCATGGGGTGCAGGGCCCAAGCACTTGGGCCATCCTCCACTGCACTCCCTGGCCACAGCAGAGAGCTGGCCTGGAAGAGAGGCAACCGGGACAGAATCTGGCGCCCCAACCGGGACTAGAACCTGGTGTGCCGGCGCCGCAAGGCAGAGGATTAGCCTAGTGAGCCGCGGCGCCGGCCTCTATTGACCCAAATTTTGAGCCATGAGTATAATTTACTGTAGCATCATCTGTGCTACAAAGACATTTTGTCTCAATCCCATACCTCCTTTGGTTTCCTGTATCTTTTTACTCAAATATAGAACCCATATTCATCAATTACTCATTCTTAAGTTTGGGAGTTACATTTTATGATAGAATTACATGAGTATTGGGTTTTCATGTAAAAAACAGATCTTAGGCTGGCGTCGTGGTTCAATAGGCTAATCTTCTGCCTGCGGTGCTGGCACACCGGGTTCTAGTCCTGGTCGGGGCGGCAGATTCTGTCCCGGTTGCCCCTCTTCCAGGCCAGCTCTCTGCTGTAGCCCGGGATGGCAGTGGAGGATGGCCCACGTCCTTGGGCCCTGTACCCACATGGGAGACCAGGAGAAGCACCTGGCTCCTGGCTTCGGACCAGTGCGATGCGCTGGCCGCAGCGCACCAACCGCAGTGGCCATTGGAGGGTGAACCAACAGTAAAGGAAGACCTTTCTCTCTGTCTCTCTCTCTCTCTCACTGTCCACTCCGCCTGTCGGAAAAAAAAAAAAAGATCTTAGTCTTAGCAACTGGTGGATTGTACTAATCAAGGGCATCATTCCTGAGTATGCTATTTCTAGATAGTCCTTTTTTATTTTTTATTTTAAAAGATTTATTTATTTATTTATTTGAAAGTCAGAGTTACACACACACAGAGAGAGAGAGAGAGAGAGAGAGAGAAAGAGGTATTCCATCTGATGGTTCACTCCCCAATTGGCCACAATGGCCAGAGCTGTGCCAATCTGAAGCCAGGAGCCAGGAGCGTCTTCCAGGTCTCCCACAAGGGTGCAGGGGCCCAAGGACTAGGGCCATCTTCTACTGCTTTCCCAGGCCATAGCAGAGAGCTGGGTTGGAAGTGGAGGAGCTGGGACACGAACCGGCGCCCATATGAGATGCCGGTGCTTCAGGTCAGGGCGTTAACCCACTGCACCACAGGGTCAGTCCCTCTAGATAGTTCTAAATCTAGGTTCTTAACACTTCATTTGTAAAGCATCTCCTAAGGTCTTGTGAACACTAATGATTTTAAATATGTTAGTACTCTGCCTTTGATTTGTTAGCTTTGAAGTTAGTTTAAGAATTTTATACTGCCAGTATTCCTAATATGGTGACAATACTTTTTTTAAAGGGTCCAGGGAAAACAATTTTCTAATGTGTGTATCTAAAGTTTGTAACAAAATCGGCCGGTGCCGTGGCTCACTAGGCTAATCCTCTGCCTAGCGGCGCCGGCACACCAGGTTCTAGTCCCGGTCGGGGCGCCAGATTCTGTCCCGGTTGCCCCTCTTCCAGGCCAGCTCTCTGCTGTGGCCAGGGAGTGCAGTGGAGGATGGCCCCAGTGCTTGGGCCCTGCACCCCATGGGAGACCAGGATAAGTACCTGGCTCCTGCCATCGGATCAGCGCGGTGCGCCGGCCGCAGCGCACCGGCCGCGGCGGCCATTGGAGGGTGAACCAATGGCAAAGGAAGACCTGTCTCTCTCTCTCACTGTCCACTCTGCCTGTCCAAAAAAAAAAAAAGTTTGTAACAAAATCAACTTCATACTTTGAAAATTCCAATAAATACAATAAAACCAGTTGCCTTGAGGGACTGAGAGTTGGGTTGGGGAAAGGACTGTTTGGTAAATTATTCTACTTTTACTTTTTAACTTCTTTGGGGTAGGCAAAGGCTTAGGTCATACTCATCTTGGAAATTTAATTCCAGGTTGTTTTCTCTCCCCCGAACAGGGAGATCGGAAAGCACTGTGTTTTGGAGAGCAGAAATTTAATCTCCATGAGGTGGGAAAGGAATATGAGCCCAAAGCCGCCCACCCAATTCCTGGCTCCCTGGACATATGTCTGATCACAGAGGTGCCTTTGGAGGCAATGATCCAGCGCCTCAAGGTGAGTGGGACTTTGTTCTTTTTGAGAAAGCTGTGGCAGACACACATTCAGACAATGCCTATATACAACATCTACTCATGATCTTCATTGAGGTAACTTTTTCATGTAAACAAACATATTTAAAAGGTAAACTTTCCTGGGATCAGCATTGTTGCACAGTGGATTAAGACACCACTTGAAACACTGGCATCCCATTTTAGAGTGCAGTTTCGAGTCCCAGCTGTTTTGGTTGTGATCTAGCTTCCTGCTAATGTGCCTAGAAAAGCAGCGGAAGATGGCCCAAATATTTGGGCCCCTGCCACTCACAAGGGAGATCTGGATGGAGTTCCATGTTCCTGGCTTCAGCCTGACCCAGCTCCAGCCATCGTGGCCATTTGGGGAGTGAACCAGTGGATAGAAGACCTCTTTTTCCTTCTATCTCTTTCTGCCTTTCAAATAATCTTAAAAATAATAAAAATAAAAAGGAAACTTTTTATCATCCCTGTAAAAAATTATACCTAAATTCCTTTGCATAAATACATTTATATAAAAAGAAATGTTCAATGAAGTACATGAAAAACCCATTATATCTTGACATAAAGAGAAAATAACTGAGAAAACCAACAGCTATAAAAGCTTAACAATGTCATTAAATTTTAGCCACTTTCAATCCCTGAGTTTTCTGGGCCTGACATCACAAAGGGGGATTTGGCAGGTGGTTCAGGAGATACTGAGGACTTGTAAGCACTCCCCAGAGACATTCTTCTTGATATCATCAGAAGCACTGAAAGAGGATTGAAAAGGGAATAAAATTTCTGATTTCCTGTTATATAATTTTGTGTCTCTATAACATTTAAAATGATTTCCCCTTTTGCGGAACACATACTGAAGTCGCGAGTATGTTCTGTGCAAATAAGCAGGACTTCTTCCCTGGGAAGTGTCTGCAAAAGACTGGTTTGAATTCTGGCTCTGCCACTTACTGGATGATACTAGGTACTGTTATTAAGCCCATTTGACAAATGGAGCAACTGAGGTACAGGGAGAATGGTAGGAGGTGGGATTGGAAAAATACAAAGGTATTCTAGGGTCTTTTGGGCCACTATAAGGAATTAGATTTTGATCTTAAATATGGACTGTGACAAATGACTTTCATCTTCTCCCATTTCAGGCTTATGATGTCTCCATTGAGGAGGGTCCAGTGCCCAGAACAGGGGCAAAAGGGCCTATTATGTCCATCTACTTCCGAGACCCCGACAGAAATCTGATTGAGGTATCCAACTACATTTCATCATGATTGAAGGCAGCCCTCCTACATTCTGTTTCCTGTGGTGCTGCCCTCTCTCTTCTCTCCTGAAGACCCTTGCCTGGGGCTCAGAGACCTCCAAACATGGAGGGCTTAGGCACTGGGGTAGGGCGAGGGCAGGCTTCAAACAGATTTGGGACAAAACTTCTATGTCTGGAAGGTTTCTATCCAAGCTGCCCCAATAAATGAAGACCCTCTCCATTCATATGAGATCATCATCATTATTGTCTCAGTGCTGTGTCTTGGGGGTTGACTGGGGTGTGAGGCCCCTGAGCTGTCTGGTGGGTACGACATCTTAGAGGACCAAACCCAAAGTCATCTCCTTGAAATTCAAAGCCCTGAAAGATTTCTCATTGTTAGTAAACACACCTTTCTTCATCATTTTCTAACTTGCCTCACTCCTCCAGCTACTGCCTACTATTTCCTCCACGCCACAGGCCTCTCTCTGATCTGAGGGGACCTTCCAGGATTAGCTCAGATGCTACTACTCCTTCCTAGAGAGCTTCCTCTGGTGTCATTCTCAGTATATCCCACACTTTCTATCTTTGGATTAATAGGTCAAACTCATCTAAATTGAGTCTCAGCTCCTGATGAGGCAGGTGAGACAAGGCCAAGTTCCTTCTGTTTCTCTCCCATTCCATCACCACCACACCATTCACTCATTCAGTAAACTATAAAACATATATAGAGCACCTACTGTGTGTTAGGCCCTGTTCCAGACATTGGAGAAATGATGTTGAATAAAACATATATGTGTATCTGCGGAATGGATAGAAAAGAAACAAAATTAAGTGAATATTACATATGTTAGAGGTTGATAAATGCTTTAGAGAAAAAAGCAAATACAGAAAGGAAAGAATGCAAGTGTGAGCATTGTGGCACAGTGGATTAAGCCACCACCTGCAACACAAGAATCCCATATGAGCACTAGTTCAAGTCCCAGCTGCTCTGCTTCCAATCCAGCTCCCTGCTAACGCACCTGGGAAAGCAATAGAATGTGGCCCAAGTGCTTGGGCCCCTGCCACCCATGTGGGAGACCTGGATGGAGTTCTGGGCTCTTGGCTTCCATCTGGATTGGACTCAGCCATTATGGCCATCTAGGGAGTAAACCAGTGGATGGAAAAATCTCTCCCAATGTCTCTCTCTCTCTCCCTCCCTCCCTGTCACTCTGCCTTTCAAATAAATCTTATTTTAAAGAAAGAAAAGAAAGAATGCAGATAAAAATTGCTGGACCCATTTATAATATTTAATGAGATAATCTGATCCAGGGAAGCCTGGCTGAGGAGACATCTGGATGTCCATCTAAAGAGCAAAGGGAGTGAACCACACAGCTAGCTTGAGAAGGTACACCAGGCTCCAAATCAGCCAGTACAAAGGTGCTGAGGCATGCATGTGACTGTTATGTGTGAAGAATGGCAAAGAAGTCAGTGGGTGAAGCAAGGGGGCCTGATTGAGTATGGCCTCATGAGCCACTGTGAGGGTTCTGGCTTTTACTCTCAAGTGAAGGGAGCCATGGGAGGGTTGTGCACAGAGGAGGGCCATGATCTGACTTCAGATTTAACTGGCTTCCTCTGCTGCTGCATTGGAAAACAAACTATCCATGTAAGGCTAGAAGCAGGAGACCAGGGAGGAGGCCACTGCAGTAGTCCCAGACAGCCATGATGGTGCTGGTAGGGGAGGTGATAAAGAAGTCGTTAGATTCTGGGGATGTTCTGAAGATAGAGACTGGGTGAATTCACCAAGAGAGAAAAAAGTCAGCTAGAGAAGAGGCCCAAGGACATTTAGAGTTCTGAAGAAGAGGAGGTACAAGCAAAGGAATCAGCCCAGGTGGAAAGGGAAGTGTATGGATTCCTGAGTGAGTGAGTGATGTATGTGACTCTGCTGAAATAAAGGGGTCCCTAATCTTGTGGACTCTGGTCTCTACACAGTCTCTAGAGGGTAGTCCAGCTGAACACCCAAAGATCTCCAAAACTGCTAGGAAAAAAGGAAGTGTAAAAAAAAGAAGAAGAAGAAGAAATAAAGGAGGAGTCGGTGCTGTGACATAGTAGGTAAAGCTGCCGCCTGCAATGCCAGCATCCCATATGGGCACTGGCTCAAGACCCGGATACTCCACTTCTGATCCAGCTCCCTGCTAATGCGCCTGGGAAAGCAGCCAAAGATGACCCAAGAGTTTGGGCTCCTATCACCCACATGGGAAACCCAGATGGAGTTACAAGCTCCTGGCTTCAGCCCAGTCCAGCTTGGTCTTTGTGGCCATGTGAGGAGTGGACCAGTAAACAGATGGAAGATCTCTCTTGTTGTGTGTGTCTCTCTCTGTAACTCTACCTTTCAAGTAAACAAAGAAATATTTAAAAAAAAGAGAGAAAAAAAACTTGCTGTGGACCTATATATCATATTCTTGGATATAGATGATTAATGGAAGGAGGCAGGGAGATGGGTGGATGGATGGATGGGTAGGTAGATAGGTGGAACGATATCTCCTATCCCCTAGAGAAACTTTTTCACATGTGTATGCACAGAGGAATATGACTCTGTAAACTGAAGGTTTGCTATATAGGGCAAAAACTAGAAACAACTCAAACATCCATCAGAAGATGAGTGGTTATACAAACTGTGAAATATCTACTCCATGGGATATGACTCAACAATAAAAGGGAATGAATTTATGTGGCCAGCATTATTCTGATAACAAAATTAGACAAAGACAAAAAGAAAACTATAGACCATTATCTATTTCAAATTTAGATGCAGAACTCCACAACAAAGTATAAGTAAATAGAATCCAGCAACATAAAAGAAGGATTGTACACCATGATCGAGTGGGATTTATCCCAGCAAGGCAAGGTTGGTTCAACATATGAAAATCAATCAGCTGGCGCTGCGGCTCACTAGGCTAATCCTCCGCCTTGCGGCGCCAGCACACCAGGTTCTAGTCCCGGTCAGGGCGCCAGATTCTGTCCCGGTTGCTCCTCTTCCAGGCCAGCTCTCTGCTGTGGCCAGGGAGTGCAGTGGAGGATGGCCCAAGTGCTTGGGCCCTGCACCCCATGGGAGACCAGGAGAAGCATCTGGCTCCTGCCATCGGATCAGCTTGGTGAACCAATGGCAAAGGAAGACCTTTCTCTCTGTCTCTCTCTCACTGTCCACTCTGACTGTCAAAAAATAAAAAAAAGAAAGAAAATCAATCAATGGAATACTCCATATCAACAGAATAAAAGACATGATCTTGGTAGATGCAGAAAAGCCATTTAACAAAATCCATCACCCCTTCATGATAAAAAAAAAAAAAAACACTCAACAGACTAGGAATAGAAGAGAAACTCCTTGATCAAACGGCATGTATAGAACCCCACTGCTAACATCATACTGAATGGTGAAAGACTGAAGGCTTTCCCCTAAGGATCAAGGATGTTCTCTCTCATCACCCCCCCCTTTTTTTTTGTAAGACAGAATGTGTGTGTGTGTGTGTGTGTGAGAGAGAGAGAGAGAGAGAGAGAGAGGGAGAGAGAGAGAGAGAGGGAGAGAGAGATTGATTTTACAACTGCTGGTTCATTCCCCCAAATGGCTGCAACAGCCAGGTCTGGGCCAAGCTGAAACCAAGAGTCAGGAACTTCATCTTGATCTCCTACATGGGTGCAGGGGCCCTAATAATAGGGCCATCTTTCACTGCCTTCCCAGGCACATTAGCAGAAAGCGAGCAGCAGGGACTTGAACCGGCACTCTAATATGGGATGCCAGTGTCTCAAGCAGCAGCTTAACCTGCTGCATTATAATGCCAGCCCTCCCGCTCGCTCATCATTTCTACGCAACTTTGTACTGAAGCTTCTAACACGGTAATTATACGTATTAGTTCACTTTTTGTTACTACAACTAAAATATCTTAGAAGAGTTTCTTAGGAAGGACATTTATTTTTGTTTACAGTTGTGGAGGTTCATGGTCTAATTTTGGATAGCCCCATTGGTTTAGGTATCTGGTGAGGCTGGAGGAGGGAGAGAGATAATCAAATGGCCAGCCAAGAAGAAAAGAAGGAAAGCAGGCCAAACTTTGTTTAAATAACCATCTCTTTTGTAAAAACTGCTTTCTGAGAGCAAGCCCTCCCATCCATTACCTAAACACCTCCCACTAGGCCTACCTCCAAGACATCATAATTGGATCAATTAACCCTTTAACATAAGACTTTGAGATACAAATGCATGCATGAGTCTGGGGAACCACATCCTGTTCAAACCACAACATTAGGCAAGAAAGAAGAGACATCTGTATTGGAAGAAGTGAAACTATCTCTATTTGCAGATGACATTCTCTCTCTCTCTCTCTCTCTCTCTCTCTCTGTGTGTGTGTGTGTGTGTGTGTGTGTGTGTGTGTCTGCTCTTTTAAAGATTTATTTATTTGAAAGGCAGAGTCATGGAGAGTGAAGGAGAAACAGAGAGAGGATCTTCCATCTGCTGGGTTCTCCAAATGCCCACAACAGCCAGTGCTGGGCCAATAGGAAGCCAGGTACCAAGAACTCCATTTGGGTCTCCCATGTGGTTTCAGGGGCCCACATACTTGAGCCGTATTCTACTACCTTCCCAGGTGCATTACCAGGAAGATGGATCATAAGCAAAACAGCTGGGACTCAAACCAGCACTCTGACTGCGATGCGGGCATCACAGGCATTGGATAACCTTCTGCACCATAATGCTACACCCAACATGATCTTGTACATAGAAAATTTTAAGTAATTTATAACAAAACTAACCAATTACTCATATATGGGGGTTCTTCAAAATGTTCATGAAAAAATTAAAGGCACAAAAAATGAAATCTGGGGTCAGCGTTGTGGTGTAGCAGGTTAAGCTGCTGCCTACAACATGGGCTTCTAATATTGGAGTAATGGTTTGAGTCGTTGCTGCTCTGCTTCCAATCTAGCTCCCAGCTAATGTGCCTGAGAAGGCAGTAGAAGATGACCCAATTGCTTGAGTCCTTACAACCCATGTGGGAAACCTGGATGGAATTTCTTGTGTGTGTGTGTGTGTGTGTGTGTGTGTGTGTGTGTGTGTTTGACAGGCAGATTTAGACAGTGAGAGAGAGAGAGAGACAGGGAGAAAGGTCTTCCTTTCCGTTGGTTCATCCCCTAAATGGCCACTACGGCTGGCTTGCTGTGCTGATCCGAAGCCAGGAGCCAGGTGCTTCTCCTGGTCTCCCATGCGGGTGCAGGGCCCAAGGACTTGGGCCATCCTCCACTGCCTTCCTGGGCCACAGCAGAGAGCTGGACAGAATCTGGCGCCCCAACCGGGACTAGAACCCAGGGTGCTGGCGCCGCAGGTGGAGGATTAGCCAAGTGAGCCACAGCGCCAGCCACCTGGATGAAATTTCATGTTTCTGGTTTCGCCCTGGCCCAGACGTGGTGGTTGGGGCCATTTGGAGAATGAACCAGTAGACAGAAGATTTCACTCTCTCTGTGTGTCTCTCCCCACCTCTCTCTGTCTCCCTCTTCTCTCCGTCACAATGAATTTCAATTAAATAAAAGAAATTCATGTGTAGTTTTTTTCATTATATAGATTTTCCACAAACTTTTTAAAGACTCCTTGAATATGCTCAGCAAGTTTCCAGGATACAAGATTGTATATGATACAGGAGCATCCCAAATTTAATTATATACAATAGTAATTAACAAAAATGAAATTAAGAAAACAATTTCATTTATAACTGCATTGAAATGAATAAAATACTGAGTAATTAACAAAAGAAGGGCAAGACTTGTACATTAAGAACTGTGAAAGAACTTAAAGACCACCTAAATACATGGAAAGATATCACATGTTCATGGACTGGAAGACTATATGGTGTTAAGATAGCAATATTCTCCAAATTGATCTATTGATTTAATGCTGTCCTATCCAAATCCCAGCTTGCTCCTTTGCAGCAGTTAACAAGCTCATACAAAAATTCACATGGAAATACTAGGGACCCAAAGCAGCTGTACCAGTCATGAAAACCAAAAACAGAGTTGGAGGACCACATTTCTCAATTGAAAAACTACATAGCTAGAGTAAGCAAGACTGTGAGACATATATGAGGGTACTTTTGTACATTTGTAGAAAGAGGTTGACATTTAGCTTAGCATTTAAAATGTCATTTGACTCCTGAGTCTCACATTGGAGTACCTGGGTTTGATGCTCAGTTCTTAGCTCCAGATTTCCACTAATGCAGACTCTGGGATGCAGCTCAAGTAATTGGGTTCTTGTCACTCATGTGGGAGATCTGAATTAAATTCTCAGCTCCCAGCTTCAGCCTTTCCTGGTGCCAGTTATGATGGCCATTTGAAGAATAAACCAGCAGATAGGAGTTCTCTCTCTCTCTCTCTCTCTCTCTCTCTCTCTCTCTCTCTCTCTACCTCTCCAATGAAAACTTTTCTTAAGTTTGTGGAAAAATAGAATTGACAGATAAGTTTCTTTGCTGCAAAAATTCTGAATCCATGCATAGCTTTTCCATAATGTGCATTTCCATAAACTTTGTGAAGACCCCTGGTAGGCATGAATTTCAAAATGTTTTTGTACCAAAATAGATTTATTCTTTGATTCCATTTGCAACAACTTTTTGAAATACCCTTGTGAGTCAATGAAATAGAATTGAGAGTCCAGAAATAAACTCACACATTATAGGCAAGACTGTTCAATGGGGTAAGAAGTCTTAAACAAATGGTGCTAGGATAGTGGCAGGGCCACATACAGGAATAAAGCTGGGGCCTTAGTTCATACCATTATAAAGATAAACTCCAAATGGATGGAAGAGTTCTATGTTAGAACTAAAGCCAGAAAACTTTTAAAACATAAGTATAAATCTTAATGAAAAAAAAAAAAACCCTCCAGTATCATCTAGTGTTTAGGGGCACATACGTATCTGGTAATGGAGTAAAAATACTCATGAGGAAGATAAGCAGCAAGTACCAGACAAGAGAAGGAAGGAGGGAAATGGAATCGGTGCAAGGACTTCAACTGTAACTGTAATATCCTATTTTTTTTCTAAACTAACAGAAGTCAATAAGCAACATATTAACGTTCCACAAAAGTGAACACTTGCTACAACATCTTTTGATGCTTTCTGCATCAAAGGATGCATTCTATTTGTTCTGAGAGCAAATATTTGACTCTTTAGCCAGACTTTCGTTCACGTTTCTCTTGCACCAAGGTGAGTGGGGCTCTGTCCCCACCCTGGTAAACTTACAGTCCCCAAGAGGCACAGACAGTCCTAATACTGTGGGCTTGGATCACGCAGGGAGTCTAGAGGATGTCAGTAGGGAGTGAGCCAGGCAGGGAAGGCTTCTGGGAAGAGAGGACATTGGAGCTGAGGCTCAAATTGAGGTCTGACAGAGAGGACAGGGCGGTCTGGACACCCCACCCCTGCTCCCGCCCCTGTCTACCCCAAAGCCTGGCCTGGCCCCCGCTGATTCTCTTATCTGTCCACTCCCAGTTGCCTCCCTGCTGGCTGAATGTCGCCACAGACTTGTGGGCTTGTGCCCCCTCCGCAGGGATGGGGGAGGGAATAGGTTAAGGCCTGGGCTCCGAACCTCAGGGTTTCTAGCTCTTGATGGAGGCAGGGCTCTGAGGAACACCACCATATCCTTTACTCCCTTCCTGAGCCCTTTATTCCCTGCCAGGGATGAAGAAACAGAGAACGAGTCCAGTGGCCGAACCTTTGTCTTAGACATGCCCCCCATCCCTTCCCTTTGAGGACAGATTTCCCTACTTCGCCCCCAACATTGCAACTGCATTTTCTAATAATAACAATGATGAGAGTTACCATTTACAGAGCACACCATACATGGTGTGCCAGGCAGGCATGGTGTTGGGTGGGTACATTCTGTGTGTGTGGCAACAGCGGGGGATTAGGGGAGAAAGCTATGATTATACCCATTTCCAGGTGAAGCAACTGAGGCTCAGTAGGTGGCTTGCCCAGGAACTACACAGCAAATCAGTGTGAGAGTTGAAGCAAGAACTCACGGCCTTGGGCCAACTACTACTTCTTCTTCTTCTTCTTCTTCTTCTTCTTCTTCTTCTTCTTCTTCTTCTTTTTTTCATTTACTCCTAGTCTCAAAGACAGGGGCAATTTTACACATTTTTGCCACAAGGATCTGGTAAAAATGGGATAAATTTATGCATGAAGAGCACTTAGCTCAGTGCCTGGAGTCAACTGGCAAATGCTACTGCTGCTATTACTCTACTAATACTAGTGGTAAGTACTAGTATCAGAATGTATATTAATGGAGGCCAGCGCTGTAGTGCAACAGGTTAACCCCACCACCTGTATCACTGGCACCCCATATGAGCTCTGGTTCAAGTCCCAACTGCTCCACTTCCCATTAAGCTCCCTGATAATGTGCCTGGGAAAACAATAGAAGATGGCCCAAGTGTCTGGGCCCCTGCATGTGGGAAACCCAGATGGAGTTCCAGGCTCCTGGCTTCAACATGGCCCAGCTCCAGCTGTTGCAGCCATTTGAGGAGTGAACCAGTGGATGGAAGATCTGTCTCTCCCTCTAACTCTTTCAAACAAATAAATAAATAAGAATAAATCTTTAAAAAAAAGTATCAGGGTCAGCACCATGGCATAGTAGGTTAAGCCTCTGCTGGTGCCAGCATCCCAATGGGTGTTTGTGCCCTGCCTTCTCCTCTTCCCATCCAGCTCTTGGTTTATGGCCTGGGAAAGCAGCAGAGGATAGCCCAATGCTTGGGCCCCTGCACCCATGTGGAGACCCAGAAGAAGCTCCTGGATCCTGGCTTTGGATCTGCCCAGCTCCGGCCATTGTAGTCATTAGGGCAGGGAACCAGCGGATGGAAGATCTCTCTCTCTCTCTCTCTCTCTCTCTCTCTCTCTCTGCCTCCTAAATAAATAAACAAATCTTTAAAAAATTGTATTAATGCTATTGCTAGAATTAAAGTTTTACAATTAACATTAAAATTATAGTAGTGTTAAAGATCAAACTCCTGGAATGAGAATGCTGTATTTTTTTGAGTGTGTTCCAAAAGTTCACATAATGTTCTCCACAGTATAATTAATCCATATATTTCTGTCTATATACAACAGAGCATTGTCAATGTCAGAATATTAATAGAAATTATGTTATTTATTGAGTGCATGGAGATTTTACCATATGATTAAAGTTGTTTTACTTTCAAAAAAAATTATAGTAGTGTTAGATTACAACTAGTACTAGAATACTAATAGAAGTAGTATCAATATTAGCATTAATGCTAGTGTTACCATTGATGTTAGCATATTAGCATTAGTACTAGAATTAGTAGCAGTGTTAGTAAGAAAGTACCAAATGCTACCCACCGTATACAGTAGGTAGTAAATAGACAAGAACACCTAACATTTACAACAAGTTCAGATGCAAGTGAGTTACAATTACCTAACATGGACTAAAATGCATTCAGCCTCCACAGTCAGCCTCGAGTAGTTACCATTACTAGCCCATTTTTACGGATAAGAAACTGAGGCCCAAAGGGGTGAAAGACTCGCCCAAGTTATCCAACCAGTTGGAGCCTAGGGTGGTCTATGAACAAAGGTGGACTGGCTCCACAGTCCATGCCTGGAAACCATGGCCACTTAAATCATAGGTGTCTTTGCCTGTATTGGGCTTCTTACTGATGAGGACTCAACATGGGGCGTGGCACACATCAGGAGCTCAATAAATGGGAAGTTGTGGCCTTATGCTCTCTCTCCTCCCCCAAACTCTCATTTTGTGTTTGAGAACACTGATGCTCAGAGGGGTACATGAGGGGTGATCTCTCTGTGAGGGCCAGTGAGTGAGCAGACAGACCCCACTGGCCCAGGGCTCTGTCCTTGCCCTCTCTGTAGAGCTCCCTATCCCTCGCAGTGCTGGGACCAGGACTGGGGAGTCTTACTCCCTGCTCCATGGGACCCAACTTGTGTGTGTGTGTGTCAGATGATTTTATAGGGAGAAAATTTTCAGAACAGGCTAGGCACAGGTCAGGGTGATTCATTGCTTTTTGTTGTTGACATTTAGGTGAGAAAGAGCAGGAGGAGGGAACATGGTAGAGGCCCAGTGACCACCCCCTGGGGGGGTCACTCACCTGCCCAGGCCGAGGGTAGGGCCACAGGTCACACAAATCCACATCAATCCACATCCACATCCCCTCCCACCCCAGCACCACCTGCCCTGGGCTTACCCCAGTCTGCCTCCTGGGGTCTCAGACTTCCTCACACTCTGTCCCTGAATATTCCCGTCTCTGTCCCTGTACAATACATTCCTGTCCTCTGTCCCGTCTCTGTCTCCCTTCTCAGTTTCTCCACCTGTGTCTTTGGACTCTGTCACTTTCAGGGTTTTTTTGCCTTCTGTTCATCTCTCTCATTCTCTTTGCCTCTCCTCTCTTCGCCTCTCTTTTCTTTCTATGTCATCTGCCTCCTTCCACCTCTCCATTTAATCCCTCTATCTCTTATTCTCTGCCTCCCCATTTCCATCTCTCTCCACTTATCTCTGGCCCTGTCCCTGTCTCTCTGTCTCTCCCTCTCTAGCCCTTCCCCTCCCCAACTTAGCCCGCTGCTTCAGAGGAACCAGCCCCTGGTCCCACCTCAATTTCCCGCCTCCAAAGCAGCATGGCGGGCAAGAAGCTGAGGCCACTGCCACTGTCCCTGGGTGGCCCCCCTTCCCGCACCCTGCCCCCCATCCCAAGACAGCCTGTTACTGTGGCGCCAACAGCCACAGTCGCCACCATCTGATAAGACTTATCTGCTGCCCCAAGGCAGGCCAGAGCTGGCGCAAGCCCCAGTGGGGCACTGAGCAAGTGTGCCCCTGCCTCCTGCCAGCTCTGGCCCCTAGGCTGGGGGCTAGCTCATCAAGGTATCCCACAGGCTCTGGCTCCAATCCCACCAAACCTGCCTGAGCCTCATAGTCTCACCTGCAAAATGGGTACAGCTGTATCCTTCCTGTCTGCGCAGCCAGAAGGACTCACATACATAAGGACGCAGACCACTCCTGGCCCTACACCCAGTAGGAGGTAGGAGCGTCACTCACTGAAAAGCCTAGTAGAGTCATGAAACCCTATCTGCTATTTTCATTTTATCTTGGTTTTAGCCCACCAGGCTTTGCTGGACACTGAAGTCCATGGGAATCTAAGTCCAGCAGGTCCAAAGAACCATGGGTGAGCAGGTAGGGTGGAGGAGGGGCTCCAGTGCCCAGGAGGTGCCCCACAAACAGGGGGCACACTCCCTCCCCTGGACTGCCCCACCCACTAGGGCAGCAGCCACTCCCTGGGGAGGAGGGAGGAGGGAGAGGGGAGGGAGGGAAGGAGGGAGGAAGGGAGCCTCAAAGGCCAAGGCCAGTCAGGACACCCTTTGGGATCACACTGAGCTCACCACATCCCCAAGGCGGCTGAACCCTCTGCACCGACCAGCCCAGGTCAGTCTCAGCTCCCAGAGAGCCCCTAGCAAGGCAAACCCTGGCCTGCTGCCCCTAACCTCATGGCTACTTCCCCAGCCTACCGCTGGTCCCCAAAGTGTCAGCCACCTCTGAAAGCCCTTCACAGCTCCTCAGACCCACCTCTGCCTTTCCCATCCCCATTTCTATCTTAGATCTACCCCTCCAAAGCCCACTTCTCCCTGCCCTGACTCCCATCTGCTCCTTCTATGAAATTGGTCCTCTGCTCCCTCAACTTTGCTTCTCATACCCCTCAGATCTGACCTCTAAACGCCAATTCTGGCTCCACAAAATATACCTTTATCTACTAAATCCTATCTCTGCTCCAAATCTGATTTTCAATCACCTAAGCATGTCTCTGTCTTCCTGAGCTCTTCTCCAAACCTCACTTTGCCCCCACTAAGGCTATTTCCGCTCTTAAATACCCGATCTGTGCCACGACAATACCCTCGTCTCTGCCCCAAGCCCCCTTGCTGATCCTCCAAACCTGCCTCTGATCCACCAAAGAGTAGCTACATCCTCTAACCCTCACCTTTGCCTCTTTCATTTGTTCTATTCTCTCTTGTTTCCCAAACCATCTCTCTTCTAAAATGTCTTTGATCCTCCAAATAGTGAGTCTCTACCCACAACATTTTTTCTGCCATAAGAACCCTCATGTCTGCCTTCCCTAAACTTAAGCTCTTGGTCCCCCTGAAATCCTCTAACCCCAATCCTTCCTCTACCTCCGTTCTACCTTGGGTTCTCAAACTCTTCTTGTGCTTCTGTAACTCAGCTCTAACCATCAGCCACATTTCTATCCACCAAAACTCATCTTTGACTCTGAAACTCTCTCTGCTCCAACAAAATCTGTGGACTCCCCCACTTTTCTGACCCTCAGATTCACTCTCTGATCACCAACTTACATCTCTAACTTTTCAACTCTCTAACTTTACCTCTTATTTCTTAACCTCATCTCTATTTTCCTAACTTCTTCTGAGCTCCAAATATCTCTGAACTTCCAAGCTTGTCTCTGCTCCTCAAACCCCATATTTACTTCCCCTAAACTCCATGGCCATACCCCAAAGCTCTCTGACTTAACCCCATGAGACCCTCAAACTCTACCTCTAAACTTCCAAGGCAAATATCTTTCCCCAGACCCTACTTCTGTTCCATCAGCCCTGAGACCCTCCCTCAAGGACCAGGACAGGGGTGTTACCTGGGGTAAGGGGCTGGGGCCAGGGAGAGTTGAGGGTGCCGGCTGGGCTGCTGCCTGTCGCGGTTGGGGCAGCACTTACTCTAGTGGGGCAGCTGATAAGGAGCTTTCCTATCCCCCAGCCTCCAGATAAACTTTATCTCTGTCCGGAGAGTGATAACTGAAGGGGAGGGGGGGGGCTGGGCCCCTGCCACAGGAGGGGTGGGTAGCCCTGGACCCACCAATGAGGTAGGGTATAGGGGTGGAGGCAGTGGGGCTGGATGGAGGTTGTGAGTAGTGAGGTGAGGTTGAGGAGACAAGGGAATAGTTATAGAAGCAAGAGATGCACAGTGAGAAAAGGGAGATAGAAATAGAGATGAGGAGAGACATCAAGAGACATGAAGGGAGAGGAGAAACAGAGAGAATGCCAAACAAGAGAAACAGTAGGTAGCAGAAAATAAGACCTAGCAGCAGAGGAAGGAGAGGGTGTGCATGTGACAAATACAAACATGTAGAGCCAGAGACTAACAGAGAATCAGAGACAGAGATGAAAGAGACAGAGACCAGGATAGGGAGCAGACACCGTTTGAGGAATAGATAGTGGGAAACCTGGGTCCTTCTCTTTCCAAGCACCACCTCCAACCCTGGGTCCAACCCTCAGCCTGTCTACACAATGGTCATGTGGCAGGGGTGGATTGGAGGTAGCCTGCTTCACCTGCATCATCCCACCCAACAGTCAGGGAGACTGAGCAGTAAGGGGCAGGGTTAGGTGTCTCAATTCCTCTTCCAGTGCTGAGTGCAGTGGGATAAGGCCAGGGACATGAAAATAGTAAGACAATCATCGAAATAAGGTCAGAGGCAAAGGGAAAGAGAGAGAAATAGAGGGAAGAGACAACAGGTGTAAAGATACAGAGGTGGAAAGTCGCAGGCATTCAGAAAGATGAGTGGATAGGGAGAAAGCATGAGTAGCAGAGAGCGATATGGGGTGGGGAGAGGAGACAAATAGAGAGACAATCATAGAGATATGAACAGACAGAAAAAGGGAGAGAAAACATTAGACATTCATAAAAGCATTGAAAAAGAGAGGACAAAGTACATCATAGAATCCTGGAAAGATGGAGAAGAAATACAGTCAAACTTCAGGAGAAACCTAGTTGGGGAAAAAAGAGACCCAAGGAGACAGAGGGGGTAAAGATGGCAACATACACAGGCAATACAAAGGCAAATGGTCACCACACGAGTCTGTCACTGTCAGTCCCTGTGATATAGCAGACAGGGAACCTGAGGTTCAGGGATGGTTGGAAGGTGCCTGGAAGCAGAATCATGGCCACCCTCCCACCTGTCACCCTCTTCAGAGGAAGCCAGTGGCCTTGGGGTGATTTCAAAAGTTGGGCGGGGATAGCAGAGATAAGCAGTGGGGAGACTGACCCCCCCTGAGCAGGGAGGAACTGAGGGGCCCTCTGTCTGCAGACCCAACGGAGGCGGGGGTGGGGGGAGTCAAGTCGGAAACCATGGGGTTTCTGAGAAAGCCAGAGGGCAAGATGCAACAGATAGGGGTAAGGTTGGGGAGCTCAAGAGAGTGAACCCCAAGGTCCTGGGGGGTAGCTAAGGGGCTCAAGGGACCCTAGTTCTGCACCCCATCTGACCCTCACCCAGCATCTTCTAGAGGGGGAGGGGAGGAAGGATGGGGGCAGGGAGAATACGAAGAGGAAGTAGAGGAGAGAAGATGAGGAAAGAGAAGAAGGCATAAGCAGAAAAAGCAGAGGGAGAGAAGGGTGAAGAAAAAGGAGGGGGGCAGAGAAGGGAAAGGAGCAGGGGGCAGGGGAATGGAGGAGATGGAGAGAGGGGAAGAGGGTGATGAGGTGTATGGAAAAGGAGAAGAGAGAGGAACAAGGAAGGGATGGGGGAGAGAAAGACAGCAAGGAGGACAAGATGGTAGGGGAGTAGATAAAGGAAGAGGGAGAGGAGAATGAGAAAGGAGTGGAAAGGAAGAGGAGGAAGACAAAGGAGTCAAATGAGAGGAAGGAAAAAATGAGAAGAGGAGGAATCAGAGGAGAGTAGAGGTGGATGGAGGAGGGAAGAAAGACAAATGAGCACAAAAAGAATGGTAGAAGAAGAAAAGCGGGAGCTTAAGAAGTGTGAGGATATAGTAGAAGACAAGAGATAATAGAGTGGGAAGGGAGGAAGAGGACAACAGTAAGTGTAAAGAATATGGAGAGGGGGAGGGGAGGAGGATTCTTGTGTTTGAGGACTCTTCTTGTCCTCACAGGTGAAAATCCAGAGGCCCCATGGAGTTCCCTGGCCTGGGAGCCCTGGGGACCTCAGAGCCTCTGCCCCAGTTTGTGGATCCAGCCCTGGTATCCTCAACACCAGAGTCTGGGACCTTCTTCCCCTCTGGGCCCGAAGGCTTGGATGCAGCAGCCTCCTCCACCGCCCCAAGCACAGCCACTGCTGCAGCTGCCGCGTTGGCCTACTACAGGGATGCAGAGGCCTACCGACACTCCTCAGGTAATGCCCCTGGCATCAGCTGGATGTCACTAGGGTTGCCATGGAGCCACTTAGCTAGATCAGACTCCCACTTGGAGGTCATCTCGGAGATGGCTGAAGCTTTCCATGAGGATGTGCTAACCACTTTCCTTAGTCCTGACCTGGGAATTCAATGCTCCTCAACCTGCCAAACTGAAAAGCAATATGGGAGGTGTGCAGTGATTGCCCTAGTTGTCAAGTGATTGTGGAGTTCCAAATCCCAACAGTCATCTTCAAAGTGCATTTGGATGTGCTTAGAGTTACCACAGTTGTCATAGTGACCAGTGGGGCTCAAGAGCTACGAATCACCCAATAGCCAGCAGCTATTGGTAACCTGTGGTAACCTGTGGAAAGGTTGGAAACTTGGCCACCATGTTGGGGTTGTTATGCGGCATTGCACCCTGAAAGTGAGGTGACCATAAATTGATCTCTTCTTTCCTCCTTCCTTCCCCTACCTGACCCCTGACAGTCTTTCAGGTGTACCCACTGTTCAACTCTATGGAGGGGATCCCAGGGGGCTCACCATATGCTGGCTGGGCCTACGGCAAGACAGGGCTCTATCCTGCCTCGACTGTGTGCCCCACCCGCGAGGACTCCCCTCCCCAGGCCCCAGAAGATCCAGATGGGAAAGCCAGCACCAGCTTCCTGGAGACCTTGAAGACAGAACGGCTGAGTCCAGATCTCTTGACCCTGGGGCCTGCACTGCCTTCGTCTCTCCCCGTCCCCAGCAATGCTTATGGGAGCCCCGATTTTTCAACTACTTTCTTTTCTCCTACTGGGAGCCCCCTCAATTCAGCAGCCTATTCCTCCCCCAAGCTTCGTGGAACTCTGCCCTTGCCTCCCTGTGGTGAGGGTCTCAAAAAAGGGACAGGGAGGTTGAGGTGGAGGGGGGTAGCCAAGCAAACTTGAGCTGAGCCTGGCTTCCCCCTTCCTTTTCATTCACCCCACCAGAGGCCAGGGAATGTGTGAACTGCGGAGCAACAGCCACCCCTCTGTGGCGGAGGGACAGGACAGGCCACTACCTATGCAATGCCTGTGGCCTCTATCACAAGATGAATGGGCAGAACAGGCCCCTCATCCGACCTAAGAAACGCCTGGTAAGACCACAGTCCCACCTCTCCTTACCCAAGAGCTAGAGTGCTCATCCTGTGCAGGAACCCATGTCCTCATGCTTATAGAAAACTACTGCTTCCACCCTGAATAGGAACCTCTGTCCTAACCCTATGGAAACCCTTACCCTCATCCCTCTATATGGACAACTCCTGCCCTTGTCCCAGCTAGGGACTTCTGCCCTTTCCTATATAGGAACCAACTCTGTAGAGGAATCCCATCCTCAGCCTATCCATATAGGCTCTGAACAGGAACCCTTGTCCTCAAGCTGTACAGAAACCTTTGTCCTCCCCCTGTGTGGCAGTGTTTTCATCTCTGGCTTCATGCTGAAATCACCCAAGGGCACTTCAAAAATGCTGGAGCCTGGCTCCTTTCCCCCAGCTCATCTGACTTAATTGAACCACAGTACTGCTTGTGCATCAGGATTTTTTTAACTCCCCAAGTGATTCTGAGATGTGGCCAAAGTATAGCCCCTCACAGGACAAAAAATGAAAAAAAAAATCTCTATCCGGTACAGGAACCTCTCACCCTATATAGAAACCCTTGCCTTCAACCTGGTCCTCACCCCTTGGGTCTTTCTGACAGGCCCTGTAAGACCCATACCCTCATTTCCACCTCCCTAGGGCAGTGTTCTTACATCCTTTCTTCCCCTAGATTGTCAGCAAACGGGCAGGTACTCAGTGCACCAACTGCCAGACAACCACGACGACACTGTGGCGGAGAAATGCCAGTGGGGACCCCGTGTGCAATGCCTGCGGCCTCTACTACAAGCTACACCAGGTGTCACCTTGCCCCCCAGAGCCAACCTCCTCTGCCCCACACCATGCTTCCCCTCCCCCATTCTATCCCTGTTTCACCGATTCCCCTGTTCCCCTCACAACACTTCCTCCTCTCATCTCCCCTTCTTTCTCTTCCTCCCCCTTCCCTCCTTGCTTCCCTTTCTCCTTTCTCTTCCTTCCTCCATTCTACTTCTTCCTTCTCTCGTCTGTTATTTCCCTTTCTTCCGTCATCTCCTTCCTCCCTTCCACTCCCTTTTATTTCTCCTTCTTGCTCCTTTCTTCACCTCCTGTCTCTTTCTTCCCTCCCTCTGCCCCACCTCCAAGTCACCAGCTAACTGCCACTCTCCTGCCCCACACCTTGGGCAGCTGCTATCAGCCTGGGAAGCTTTACCAAGCTCTGAATTCCTCACAACCTCAGGATTCCTTAGAATGGCATCTCTGCCATCCCTGTGGGGCAACCCCTAGTTCCTGAACCAGTTAATTCCCAATTGCTACAGAAGTAGAGTGAAGAGGGTGTTCCTGGTACAGACATAGATAGGCAAACAGTTGGAGCTGGGGAACATGCACGACCTCCCTTTTGGCAGGTGAACCGCCCACTGACCATGCGAAAGGATGGAATCCAGACTCGGAACCGCAAGGCATCTGGAAAAGGGAAAAAGAAGAGGGGATCAAGTCTGGGAGGCGCAGGAGCAGCCGAAGGACCAGCGGGTGGCTTCATGGTGGTGGCTGGGGGCAGCAGTAGTGGGAATTGTGGAGAGGCAGCCTCAGGCTTAACATTGGGCCCTCCCGGTACTGCCCATCTCTACCAAGGCCTGGGCCCCATGGTACTATCAGGGCCTGTTAGCCACCTCATGCCTTTCCCTGGACCACTGCTGGGATCACCCACAGCCTCCTTCCCCACAGGCTCTGTACCTCCTACCACCAGCACTACTGTGGTGGCTCCACTCAGCTCATGATGGTACAGAGTATGGCCCCTGGGGCCAGGGATGGTGTCCCCTCCTCTTGCAGCCAGCAATTTGTACAACCTAACCCTCTGGGCCTGATACTTCCTGGTCTGGCCCTTCAAAGCTTTTGTAAAATAAAATTACCAAAGTCCTGATATTAGAGCTATGTGTGTGTGACTGAAAATAAACAGCAGTGTCAGGCAGGGTGGGTAGTAGCATCTTCATTCTTTGATGGCTATATATGACTGAAATGCATGATTGTATGAAGCTGGGTGAGGTGACATGTATGACATTTTGTTCCTGGAGGGTTTTGACGTGCCATTTTACCAGTAGATGTGGAACTTTGTGTGACAGCATCTAGGAGGTTCCATATGTCCCACTGAGAGATGGTGTTGTGACCAAGAGGGAGTGGGGAATGGTGCGTGTCACGCCAAGTGACTGGATGAGGGCATGTGGAAGTGTGTGTGCCATGGGGGGTGAAGAGGAAGTCTGTGTGGTTATATTCATGTGACTGTGCGTGACTCTGGGTGATCTTTGAGACAGTGTGACAGCATATGCACTAGGCTGAATACTGTTGGAATGTTGAACAATAACTGAGTATTAGGGTATATGGAGGGGTAACAACATGACTGTGGTGGCAATGTGTGCCATGGTGGATCAGGTAAAGGCAGGATTTCTCTGCAAGTCTCTGCACTTGTACAGGTATGTATGGGTGTGCACATTGTATGAGTGGCAGACAAGATGAGTAGCTTTGTGTGCATTTGCGGTGGTATCAACATGCACAGTTCTTGACAGGAGAAGTTGAAGAGTCTCTTCCAAAGAACAAGACACATTCAGGAAAGGAAAGTTCAGGGTGAAAAGACCAGAGCTGGAGCGTGGGGTTGTCCATGGGTCCTCCCATCACTTATCTCTCTCAATCCAGCTTGGCCTGCAG